GCAAAATTTATTTACATATCTTTAAAAACAGAATTGAAATCTAAAAGATGTTGATACAAATATCCTGTCAGAAAAGTGGTTTTGTATTATCAGATTCTAAAATTCACAAAAGAGTTTTCTTGTTCATCTGCTTTCTGAAATTTTGAAGTTTAGATAAAGAAATGTAGAATTTCATAATAACTCTTATGCTCTGTTTATAATTTCAATACAATTGTTCTAAAAAATGCTTCATCGTTTTTTCAATCTTTATCCACTGCGATTTGCAAATCAGACATTGTCAAGTTTTTTTTGATTTTTCAATGAGAATTTACAGAAAGGGCTATAAATAGCACTACGAATAGGGTGTGGATCTTCTTGGGGTGTGGGTGTGGGTCAGAGACCGAAACGAGTCAAAAAAATTCAACTCGACTCGACTCGACTCGACTGAACCATTCAATCGACTCGGCTCGACTCGACATGCATCTAAAAAACATCTGACTCGGCTCGACTCGACTCGACTCGGCTCGAGTCGAGTCGAGCCGCCGAGTATCGATTCAAAATCGAATGTTTAGAAGTACATTCTTAATATCAAGAATGAGAAGAAATTTAGACACACATTTCACTTGTATCATAGTGTTGAAACATCCATGTCGGACCACACGAAAAGGAAACCGTCAGCTTCAGGAAATTGCGACAATTTCTTGAAAGCAGTATTTGAGACTTGGAGATCTCAGATTTTCTTTCTGTGACTTCCCATTAAAATCCTGCCTTTGTCGCTCAAAGATGGTCGGAAGTCATCGAAAAAGTCCTTCGCTCTCTCCACTTGATGTACTGCTTCGATTTTCTATCGATTTTCGGAGATTCTCTGTCAGAAACAGAAATTTTCTACAAGTTTTCTACTCGGTTTCAGAGCTTGGAATTATCATCTCGAATAATTCTGAATCATTTTCTTGCGCGATTTCGGCAATACTGCAGGCCGATTTCTTCTCCCCATAAATGTTCCAAGACTATTCGAAACGGTCCTATTGGATGGAATGGTTAACATATTTCATCGGTTTCAATATTCTAAATATGATCAAATATTTGATCATATAAACATCCATTCTGTTTTGATCATCTTTTTGCGATAGATAATGAAATAATGCAATACACTACTAAATCTGTTACGCGTCGCATGCCGATCACTTACATAGGCTAACGATCAATCAAGTCATTGCATTCTAATTAATCTTTGAACAGTCAATAATGCATTGAATACAATGAAAGCTAGTGTATATCATTCATTGTAGTTTATTTAGCGTCGTCAGTTCATCGCTGTCTATTCATTTTAATGCTCTGTTCAACCTATTCATTGAAATGAATTGACATTGTCTCATCTCGGTTCGTCTAACGATGACGATGACGATGACTAATATTGAGAAACAAATGATAGAATTACGAAGAAATTTTTAAAAAGTCGAATCGTTGGGGTCAAATTCGACTCGACTCGACTCGACTCGACAGTAGATCTGACTGGACTCGACTCGACTCGACACATTTCTCAAACTTCGCACTCGGGCTCGACTCGACTCGGCGTGAACCGAGTCGAGTCGAGACGATTTGTCGAGTACTCGACTCGTTTTCGGTCTCTGGTGTAGATGTGTGGGTGTGGTGTGGTGTGGGTGGGAGGTGGGGGTGTGAATACAGAATTGGAGTTCAATAACACCCAAACCCACACCCACCCACACCCTACTCCACCCCACACCGACCCACACCCCACCCCACACCCACACCCCACCCGCACCCACACCCACACCCACCCACATCCACACCCACACCCACCCACACCCACACCCACCCACACCCACACCCACACACCCACACATCCACACCCACAACTTGACTTGAAAAGTTCAAAACGCAGTCAAGTTGTTTCCTGAAACTCAGACAAGTCAAAAGATATCATTTGGAACTTGATTTGACTTTCCCATCTCTGCGCTTGTTGCGCCTAACTTCAAGATTTTTTCCTGACTCTAATCTTTGTTCGGTAGAGTACTACAGATTTTATTCTGAACTGCACAATAAAAAAACGTAGAAAGGACAAACTGTACAACACTTGAGCTTTATGTGAAGTACAGTAGAATGTGTTCGTCGAGACGAACTTTCATTCCAGAGCCCGTATCATGCTCTCATACAACTCATCATCTTCCAGGAACCGGATGACAAATTCCTCTCGGCTGATTCGTCCATCGCTATCGGCATCGAGCTCATCAAAAGCATTTTGAAAACCTTCAGTTCGTACAATGAAAAAGGAGATGAGAGATGGCGCCCATAAAACCACTTTCATTGGCTTCATTCGACCATTCCAGAAGTCAGAGTCCCGTCGTAGTGCCTTACAGCCCATTTTAACCATATCAGCTTTGCTTAGCCATCCCTTGTTTCCGCTGTCGAACTGATTGAATAGACGCTGTAGTCGGGCTGTTTTCACGCGACGTTCTTCACTTATTGCATTTTGAATTTGCTGCAGCTTTCGAGACGCCCTGTTACCCATAATGTAAATCTATGTGTTTGAGAAGTAGAATATTCATGCGAAAAAGTAATAGCTCTTTGCTATTTATATGGTGAAAAATTTCCGATAAAATTTCATCATTTAGTTGGAGAAACCGATTTCCAATTACTGTGTGTGAGCAGTGCATGAATTTCCCTGACTCACGATATGGAGTGCCCACACATTTTTTTTTCTTTCTCATGGTATGTGTGTTCTATTTTGATCTGCTGGTGATACACACAATCCTTAATTATACAATTTACCACACCTGAACAGGTGTAATTTCTCCGAATTAATTACACAGGGCACGCCTTTTAAAAGAAGGAAGTGACTATGTACACACAAGTGTATATAGCTGACTGACTATATACACATGTGTCTATATAGCCGTTTGGCTATGTACACACAGGTAGATATAATCAACATATTAGTAAATATGAAGTCATATTATAATATTACATGTATTTGTTGATTAATATAAATTAATTATCTAAGTTTTTTCATAGTTTTATTAATTCTTTATTACATACGAATAGAGTATAAATCATATAGAAAAAAAATTAAGTCAAATAAATATCAATAATTCAGCAGCATTTCTGGTGCTTTCTCTCTTTGGTTTTAAACGAAACAGTTGAATTTCATTATTTTAAATAGAATACTTGATAACCATCTAGTGTTAGCGCTTATCTTTCCTCTTCATTATATCATATTTTTTTGTCGATCGCTTATATAAAGAAAAATTTTATATCTTCTTTTCTTAGTTGATTGATTTAAAAATAGGAAACTGAAAAATAGAAAAAGTCAAATAACTTGACATCTGAGAACATAACCTTTATTAAGATAGATTGATTAATCTTTACTTTAATCTTTTTCTCTATCGAGCTAATTAATAGTTTTTCAAATGAAATGAAATGAATTGATAATTGTTATAATAAAATGGACCGATTTCATATAGCCTCATTTATGGTACCAAATAAATCCTCTTATATTATTAAAAAGTCTATCATAATCATTCTCAATGTCTGTTACAGAAAGGTATATGTTGCTATTATAGTTAAATCTATGTATATTGTTTCGTGCTTATCGTAATTCTTCAACCAGAAAAATAAAGCAAGATAATTATTCTCTCTTTAAAAAGCAGTTTGATAGCTGGGCACATTTTGAGAAAGAATTTAGAAATTGGTGCATTAATTGTTATCAATCAATGAATATAAAACGTTCTTCAATGAAATATAATGAAAAAATAACGAGAGAATTATTTAACTATGTTCAATACCAAAATGTAATGTATGTATGTCATCATAGATGTCCTGTTCGAAGACATATAAAAGATGAATCAAGACCAAACCAAGAATCGGCTCGATTATATTGTGAATTTATTCTCTTTCTCGTAGAGAAGAGTCTTGTGAGAATAAATTGTTTGTGGCTTGCTTGTATGTCCGCACTTCAGTGATTGGTCCAAAAGAAGATGACGACAAAAAGGATTATTTTCCATAAAGCTTGACCAAAGGATAATCGAGGATGAGGAGTTCGGACCTGAGGTTAGTTTTAACTAATTATTAACTAATTATTGATTATTAATTAATTAATAATTAATATTTTTAATAAAACTTGACCAAAAGATAATCGAGGATGAGGAGTTCGAATCTAAGACTAGTTTTGACTGATTATTAATTAATTATTAACTATTCATTAATTATTAATGTTTTCTATAAAACTTGGCCAAAGTTTATCGAAGAAGGAGAGGGTGTGGGTGTGAGGTGGGTGTGGGTGGGGTGTGGGGTGTGGGTGTGGGTGGGTGTAGGTGTGGGGTGTGGGCAGCGGCGGGCCAGCATCTTCAATCGAGGTGTGGCAATTACCACCTATTGCTATATGGTAGAGCCCTGCGAAAGAGAGCTAAACCCTGAAAAATTTTGGTTCCCCTGTTCCATAGCACAAGTGGAATTGTTCCAAAAAGTTTCTGCATAGGACAGCTGAAATTGAAACTTCAGAAAAGAAATTTTGCACGCAACAGTCAGAATCAGGACTTAAAAAAAGTTGTCTCGAACTTCATTAATTTTATCTGCAACATGTTCTACAATTACAAATTACGTTTATTTTATTGCACATAAATAATTTTTCATATGAAAAAACGAGAAAAAACAGGCAAAAAATTATAAATGTTTTCTAATTCTTTATTCTAATCATTTTCATCATTTTCGCCTTATTTGATAATTTTATTTTTGTATGTGGTGCTGCTGACGATCGAGAATCGTTTGAAACGTCACTAACTTTTCTTTTTCTGTCTGTTTCATGGCCTGAGTAATACATTTCTTTTAGTATTTTGCATATTACGCTTAATGAATAAGAAGTTATTAATTTTATCCACGTCTAAACAGTCAATTACTCACACAAGGATATGTTTATATTTGTTTTGGATACCGAGACAGACAGGTTTTTCGAGACATTTAGAGAAGAATACGCACAGAACATTTGGGGTCGAGATTTTTCAAAAAAAGACGATTCGGAGTGAGAACTCAGGATTAGTACGCTTACAAAAAATTTGGGAATGCGACAGAAAAAAAGTTTGTCCATCACGACTGTACTATATGGTGACCCACCAATGATTATAGGAAAGTGTATTTTAGATTCAACTGTGCCACTAATAATATTTTTAGGTGTGGCAATTGCCACCAATTGCCAGCTGGTGGCCCGCCGATGGGTGTGGGTGGGTGTGGGTGTGGGTGTGGGTGTGGGTGTGGGTGGGTGTGGGTGGGTATGGGTGTGTGGGTGTGGAGTGTGGGCGTGGGAGTGGGCGTGGGAGTGTGGGTGTGGAGGTGGAGGTGGGTATGGGTGTGTGGGTGTGGGAGTGTGAGTGTGGGTGTGGAGGTGGGTGTGAAGTGTGGGTGTAAGTGTGGAGTGTGGGTGTGGGCATGGGCGTGGGAGTGGGAGTGTGGGTGTGGGCATGGGCGTGGGAGTGGGAGTGTGGGTGTGGACATGGGCGTGGGAGTGGGAGTGGGAGTGTGGGTGTGGAGGTGGGGGTGGGTGTAAGTGTGGAGTGTGGGTGTGCGGGTGTGGATGTGGCTGCGGGCGTATGGGTGTCAATATTCTCTTTAATCACTCACACTCACACACCCACATAGATATATTTAGGATTATGTGTAAAATTTCAGACCTCTACACTTTGTGCAACGTTCTATTCTTACATTTTTCTCAGCTTAGCCATACTTTGTTTTTTAAATGACTCACAAGTTCAATATCGAACGATGATTTTTTATGAACAAAAAATTGGTTCAAGGTATATGGAAAGTCATGTCTTTTTAGCATAGGGTTCGAGCGATAATTGAAGATGGCTCTTACTAGGTGTACACATTAATAGAAGACACTTGAGGTATAATTTAGTTACAAATTATTTTTATTGGTTTAAACTTTTATGACGTTTTATGCTCGATAAGTGCATTATCAACTTATGAATGACTCAAAATAGTTCCATATTTAATTATCTCGTTATTTAATGAGGAAGTTTGGATACACTAATTGTAATCTTACATTCGACGTTTTTACTAGTGATCGACTATAATTATACAATTAGAATAGAGAAGTCGAATATTATAAAATATTCCAAAAACAATCAAAGCTCATTTGAAACAGAAGTTCAGAAAAATGCAACATGCTATTTTTCTTCATGTATGCACTGTAACCTAACGAAATTCATTTCATTGAGATCTAATGGACGCAAGTTAGTCTATCAATAGGTACCTATAGCATAAGTTTTCGAACTATATCAGAAAAGAAAGAAAAGATCGGTCTTCAATGTCTCAGTTTTTACTATGAAAATACAAGACCATGGACATTCAAGGCTTTCAATGAATTTGTCATCCAAAATCATATTCTGTAGATCTAAACTCAAGTGTGTTCTTTCGGTTGTTAAACCTGAAATATTAATTACAGAATTAACTGCTAGCCAGTTCTTTATGATCTGTTTCTGAACAGAGATCAAATGTTTTTTAGTAAATTTTCCTTATAGGACAAAACACCCAAAATCTTATAATGAAAATTTAATAAAAATGTTCAATATTTCATGAGAAAAATACCATCAACACGAACTGTTTTTTCTTGCATGGTACACATAGTTGGTTAGTATATACGGAAATGGTTTTTCAAGTGTTTTTTTTTTATTCTATGTATATATTCTCTAATATAAAATTTTGTCATATTGGTCGTCACTTATCTAAATATTTGTTTTTCTCGTCTAACTTTATATATTTACATAGAAAAAAAAATTTGAAAAATTATCACTACACCTTTCACTCAAGTTTTATTTCTCATTTAAAAAAAACGAGATTCTATTAATGCTTTATGAATGCGATGTCTCAATTATGTGCTGATGTCATACGCAAACAATTACCACGTGTTTTATGTTATTGTTGCAATAAAAGTTTTTGTCTAGAACATTTATTAACTCATACTACTTCAACGAACCATCGATCAAATTCTTTAATTGATCAAATTAATATATAACATGAACAACTCAAAAGATTAGATATTGATAAAATAATCGATGATAGTCGTTTAAAACTCGACAAATGGCGAGATAATAGTCTTAAAAAATTTAATCGGTTTTATGACAATAAATGTGATGAACTCGAACGATATTACACTCAAAAAGTTCGTCAACAACAAAAGGAAATCGATCAATTATATAAACAATTAAATGAATTCAATCAGAAACAAAATACTATTCATGAAGATAATCTGAACGAATTACAAACAAATATTCTTAATGTGAAACAAAAAATAGATGAAATCGAACAAAAAATTATTCCAATTCATATTCGTTCTTTAGTAATAGATAAAAATTTAATTATTATTGGAGAAATGAAAATACAAGAATTTGATTTAACAACATTTTCATTACCATAACAAACATTGAATGTTTCTGAAAATTTTGGATTTGGATTGGCCAGTAATAATGAATTTTTATTACTCGATCAAAATTCTGATTTAAGTCTATTTGATAAAGAGTTGACCATGATTCGACAATCTAGATGGGACTATGGAGCTATTCATGATTTATATTGGTCATTAGGTTTAGCTTGTTTTATTATAATTACAGAGAAAAGTAAAGCATTTTTAGTTAATGGAAATAATTTATCAATTAATTGTATTGAAATAATGGATAATCATTTATGGTTGTCATGCACATGTTCGAATTCATTCCTATATTTAACATCACTTAGTAATAGTATTGTTGAACTCTCTCTTTTGCCATCATTTTCTTATACTAGACGATGGGATCCTGCAATAGCTTGTCAAAAAAATGAATTTATTAAAGATATTACTTGCAACGATGACAAAATTGCTCTAATAATTGCAATTTTTTCGGATAAAATAGTACATGCAATAATTCGATCTTTAGCAACATTTAATCAATTATTTTCGATTCGTCTGGATATAAAACATGTATCATATCAACTACCAATTCGTTGTTGTTCACTTCAAGATAATGAATGGCTCGTTGTCGAAGCAAATACATCACAACTTTTTCATATTGGTAGAGAAGGAAAACTCAAAGGAACAGTCACCTATGATCAACCATCTTATAAAGTTCTTCTATTCGGTTCAAATATACTTGTTATACGGACTGATAGTACAATTAATTTTCATGAAGTTTGGCATTGACATGCAAAAAAAAACAATTTAGTTACGATTTATTCGAATAACTCGTGCCTTTTGCATTTCATTGATGATATAGAAAAATATTTTGCTGTCACTTGTTAAACACTATGATTCGTATACTAGAAAAAACTATTCAAGAATTTATTCGTATTACATTTTGGTTTATCTTAAATTATCTTCTCATTGATATAATTTATAAAATATTCAGAAAACTTTCAAATTTTGTTCTCTCATCTCTCAAAACTAGTACACGTCTTAATTGCATCATGTTTTATTAATCATTATAACCATGCATACAAAATTTGTTCTTTTTCATGATGTCATTCGACAAACTGAAATGTGAAGAAAAAAATTCGAATTTATTTTTTTTCTCTTATCTTTCTCTCTCCAGAATAAAAAGGAATCTTTGTTTTTACTCTGTACTACTTTACAATAATATTTATTAAGCATTAATAAAAATAAAACTTTCATTGTTATTGACATGTCTCAGTCATGTGCTGCTGAATCATGTGAATCTACATTAGGTATTTCTTGTCATTGCTGTGACAAAACATTCTGTCCAGATCATTTAGATGAACATTATGAATCAATTAATAGTCAATTAGATCCTTTGACTAATGAAATCAATATTCTTTACGATCAAATTATGAAAAAAACCAAGGAAAAATTAATTGGTAATTGTCTTAAGAAGCTCGATATATGGCGTGATGAATGTTATCAAATGATAAATCGTTTATATGAAAAAAAATGTCATGAACTTGAACAACAATATGTTATAAAAACGGAAAAACAACAAAAAGAAATCGAACAAATGCAATCAAAAATAAATAAACTTATTCATGAGCATGATGCGACACAACAAGATATTGAATTTTTTAAATTAACTATTGAAACAATAAAACATGAAATAAAACAAATTCATCAAATATGTTTTAATATAAATATTCGTCCATTAGAATTATATGAAAATTTTATTTCAATTGAAGAAACAAAACGAGATGAAATCGATTTTACAATTCTTTTACCTCCATACAAAACAATTGCTTGTTCTGAAGATTATAATGCATATATAAGATGTACTGCGAATGACAATTTTCTATTGATACATCATAAGTCAGAATTACAGTTGTTTAATAAAGAATTAATAATGATAAAAAATATACCATGGAAAAATCATGGAGTATATGATATGTGTTGGTCATTGACATTAAATAGATTTATTGTGCTTGATTATAATAAACAAATTTATCTTATTAATGAAAGTTTAACATCAGTTGAACAAATTGAAATAAATCCAGAGCAATTCTGGTGGCATTGTACGTGTTCTGATACTTCTCTATATCTCTTAGCATCTCAGCATCGTACAGATATTTTTCAATTTGATCTTCAATCACCTTTTCCATTAATTAAACGTTGGAAAATTTCTAATCTATCTAAAGAACGTGATATTATTACAGATATGACTTATAATGATGAAACACTTGCTTTAATAATTCAAAATGGAAATAAAACCCGTATGGAACTTCGATCATCTATAACATTCGATCGAATTTGGTTATTGCAACTTGATACTAAATATGATATTATTCATTCAATTACTTATTCCTGTTTACTTAATTGTAATGATTGGCTTCTACTAGATTATAATAATTCTCGTCTTATACATATCGATAATAATGGAACAATAAGATCAATTTCTATGTACAATCCAGCACCTACAAATGCCATTCTTTTCGGTTCAAACATCCTAGTTATAAAAACTGATAAATCTTGGAATTTTCATGAAATATAATTTCTAACTTCTATACATTTACCTAAGAACAATATATCATTTATTTTTTTTTATTCAATATTCATGAAACTGAATAAAACTTAACCGAGAAGTTCTCTAACTAATTATTCACTTTGAAGTTGGGACTATGTGCGCGTCACGTAGGTCCTAATAGGTAATGAATATTTTGAAATGAATTCGGACCCATAGCTTATTTACGATGTCATTGCAAGGTAAATACGATTGAGACAGTTCGTTCGAATATTGACTTTAAACTATGTATAGAAACAAGTATTAGTAAGAATAATTAAACGTGAAAGTATTAAGCCATTTGATTTGTTCGTATTCTGCGCATTGTTACCGAAACTGTATCTTGAAATAAGAATAACGATAGCAATAAGCGATAGATCTAAGCTCTTTTCAGAATATTTATAACTCTGTTGTGAATAGTATCTTTCAAAATGATCCATGTATTAGCATACAATTTGCTTAATTCATTGCAAACAACATATCAATATTCATAACCAAAACTAGAAGAATAATAATTCAAAGTCGAACAATGCTGTTATTGATATTTATCTTAATTTATTTATAATCTTTGTTGATTTTTTTTTACGTGAAAAAACTCGATATCATCAAGACATACAAATATAAATTATGTTTTATAAAAGAATTATATTCTGTTCACATTTAATCATAAACTTCAATGAAGTTATTTTTCAATAATACAAAATATATTCTAAGCATGTGACATTTCTACATGATATTACATATATTTATTATAGGAGAATGTCTTGTCTGAACTTTCCTTGTCTGAATATGTGAACTCTGTGCGAGATTGGTCGATGAAATCAAAAAAATGGTGATCGTTGGTAGGGTATACGATGGTCACGAGTTATTTTTTTTCCTCGTGTCCCGGTCAAATAACGTCTCTATCCCTTTCTCGTTCTTTCTCTTTTTTTCTCCAGACATGATGATGTCCTTATCGACCAACCCTGGATCAGAGAACAACGAACGGTTACCCGTTCAAAAGAGTTTTTTTCTCCCCTTTTCTTTCTCTTATCATAGTATCGTGACCGTTTGTACAAGAGAAAGGTCACTACAGTGTTTTACGATTACTATTATTTTTTTTTTTTCTTCTATATTTTTCTTCTCTCTCTTTGTTCTATATTTTCTCTCCTTTCTTCGTGACCTACGTTAGTGTATTTGCTCGGTTCATTCACATTCTTCCTCACCACCATCGATACACATTAAGACCCGTTCACTTTCCCGAACATAAACTTATAATCACCATCGTCATCATCATCATCATGCCTAGCAAACCAGGCAAAAAGACTCAAGCAGTGAGTCTTTATAAAACATTCGTTGATGCTTATATGAAAGCTCACCCTGATGTTAAACGTGCCGTAAGTTTATTTTTCTTATTTATCTGAAAAAAAAAGAATTATTCAGAATAATAAAGCAAAAAAAAAACAATGAGATTTAAATATTTAATTGTCATGAAAATCTATTCCTTCAAACAAATGGTTTCATTATAAACGAATATATATTGTAAAATCTAATATTTAGGTAAGACATCATGATGCTCAAGTTGAATGGAATTCAATAAAAACAAATGAAGAATTAGTTAAAGAAAAAATTGAACAATATTTAGAAATTTATAATCGATTAGGTGCACCAGAAAATGAAGGTCTTGCACGTCCACCATCACCTGTTGAACAACCACGAAAAGATAATCGTGGACGACCAAAAAAAAATTCTAAAAAACCTGAAACAACTGAAACATCAAATAAAGAAAATAGTGGTGAGAAAAAAGATAAAGATGAAGAATGGAATGGTTTAGATGATCTTGATGATGATGAAGAGGAGGAAGAAGAAGAACCAGAAAAAAAGAAAAAAAAGAAAAAAAGTTATTATGTTAAAAAACGTAAACCAACTGATGATCAAATTATTGAAGATCCATCAAAATCAGGTCAAACAACTGCTGGTCCATTAGAACCTTTACCAAAAAAAGTTCGACAACCAGCACAAGAACGTGCATATAAAGAATTAAGTACCATTAATGAACGTATTGCTTCATTAGTACAAGTTCGACAAATGGGTTTGGCAACACCAGAAAATAAAAAACAATTAAAACAATTAATTGTTGATCGAAAAAAGAAAGCTTATGAATTAAAACGTCTTCAATCTAAACAACGTGCTTCAAATAAATATCGAAATAAACAAAAGAAAATTGTAAAAATAAATTTTCATTTTGATTTTTTTTTTTTAAATTTAGTTTCTTTTCTTCATTTAGGTTGATAATTTATTAGAATCCAAACCTGAATTAGGTCCACAATTACATAAACTTTATCGTCGTGGTGTTGGTCGACCACGTGTTGAAGAACAATGTCCAGATTTATTACAAATCATTGAAGAAATTGCTAAAGTTGGTGGTGCTAGTGATGATCGTCGACGTTCAGAAACAATTCGTCCTTGTTTAACATTAGATGATTTACGTGAAAAAATTAAACAACGTGGTTATGATATTAAACGAACAACACTTTACTATCGGTAGGAGAACATTGTTTTTTGTATAGCAGCACAGGCCCTTTTGTCCGTTGACACAGGGAAACACTACTCTTCTGATTTCATTATTAATTTTATCATTGAAAATGATTTTATTTTGTTTTAGTCTTTTACCTCATCGTGCATCATCAATTGAAGGTCGTCGACATATTCAAACAGTTCCAGTTCGTCTTCGTCGTGCACAAAACGATGAACATGGTAAACATGAAGATGGTCATTTTGCAACAGCAACAATACGTTATATGAAAGATTTAGCTTCAATATTTGGAAATGATTGTGTTTTTTATTTATCACAAGATGATAAATGTAAAGTTCCACTTGGTTTACCAGCAGCACGTGTTCAAGCACCAATGTTAATGCATTTGGATTATCGTATACGTTTACCTGATCACGATTGGACAGTTGCACCACGACATCAATTGACACCAAGTGTTTATGCAGCATGTCTTTTATCTGAAGATGGTGATTTAGGTTATTCAGGACCAACATATATTGCTGTACGTTCAGCTAAACATGATCAATCAAATGCTGATTCACATGCAACAGATTTTGATCGTCTTGTTAATTTAAAAGAATTTGAAAAAGTAGCACGTGATGAATCTGGACAAGTTAAACCAATTGTTATTGTTACTGTCGATGGTGGTCCAGATGAAAATCCACGTTTTCCTAAAACACTTGTTGCTAGTATTAAAAAATTTAAAAGATATAATTTAGATGCACTTTTTGTTCTTACACATGCGTAAGTTATATACATATATATCTTTTTTTCTTTTTAAATTCTAAAGAAAGAATTTTTTTTTTTTTGTTTTTAGTCCTGGTCAATCAGCTTATAATATAGTCGAACGTCGTATGGCACCATTATCTCATGATTTAGCTGGTCTTATATTACCACATGATCATTTTGGTTCACATTTAAATGATTCAGGTGTAACAATAAATGTTGATTTAGAAAAATTAAATTTTCGTAAAGCTGGACAAATCTTAGCTGAAACATGGAATCAAACAGTTATTGATGGTTTTCCATGTTTTGCTGAATATATTAATCCACCAGCAACATCTGAAGATGAACGTCGTCAAATTGATGTTAAAGTTGTTATGGATGAACTTTTACGACAGTAAATTTTCTAATTTTACTCTAGATTTTATATCTTTTCATTTTTTTTTTTAATAGAGTTTGTGCTGAAGAAGAAGCTGAAGAAGGTCATGAATTTCGTATCAGTGCATCGGAAGAATATTATCAAGAGAATGCCCGTCCAGCACGAGAAAAATTTGGTGAATTACCAAAATATGATATTGATGAATATTGGTGTGCAATGCATGTTTTACAAACACAATATACATTACAAATTGTACGTTGTAATTCTATGGAATGTTGTGGACCATGGCGTTCAAATTATATTGAAGTATTTCCACATCGATTTTTACCATCACCTGTACCATTTGAACGTACACCATATGGTATACGTATGGCAGAAAAAGATTATCAAAAAGGACAATTTTATGGTTCATTATTTCAACGTATACAATTTCATGGTGTTGTTATTGAAAATACACAAGTAAATAATAAAAACAAAATATTGTTTTTATTTTAAATTTTATCTTTGAAATTTTTTAGAATGAAATGTTACCATTTGATTTTTGTTGTTCATCAGTTAAAAAAGAATTACGTAAACGTACATGTAAAATTTGTAATCAATATATTCCATCAGCTTATCGAATGAAAAATCATTATCGAATTCATGCACAACATTATGAAGATTTTGATCATGAACAAGATGATACATTACCACAATCATCAACAACAAATGATATAAATAATTCAAATGATAATCAACCAACAACAGCACCACCTGTATTTAAAGCTGAAATGCTAGATTGGCTTCGTTCAGATTTTGATGATTTTGATTTGGGTCCAGCACCAACACAACTTGCAAGTGATCGTGTTACACGTTCAATGAAAAAATTACGTGTTGAAGAAAAACACGAAGACGAAAACAATCAAGATTGGGTACATGTAGAATAACTTATTTGTTCTAAATATATCTACAAATATATACAACAAAGACACATTTAGTAGTGAACTTTTTTTTTCTTTTTTATATATTATTTCAGTTTAGCATTTTCTCTTGCTTTTTTTTTGTAATTTATGTTTTTTTTTTGTAGTCTTTTCTTTTTTGTAGTCTTTTTCTTTTGAACACATTTTGTTTGGTGTTGTTTTTTTTTTTCATTTTTTTTTGTTGTCGTCACTTTTTTTGCACAAAGAATTTTTTTGTTGATAAAAGAATATAAGTGTTTTTAAATAAATATATGACTACACATTTTCATAATGAAAATTAAAGATTTTCTTTTCCAATTCAAGGCATAAAAATAAATAAAAGAATTGATTAACTTTCTTGAGTCAATTATTTATTTTTCAATAAGGTTGTTTTATTTAGATACTTATTGACGAGGACTCTTTTAATTAATGAAGTCTTTTCAGAATATCGTCAATTTTGAAGGGAGGAAACCTTGTGCAATATGTAGAGAACGTTCATAAAAGGAACATAGTTTACATGAGGATATTTATTCATCTTGAGGTATACACAATCCGTGTTATAGTATGAAGCATAGTCAGAAGGATTTTGCAAATATTCCGACAAATGTTTTAGCATATCAGACTATGAACAATACTATTGTAAACAACAATTAAAATATTTTGATATAGTGGAATATTTTTTTTTCGTATTTGCAATGCTTCTTTATAAAATACAGACACTTTGAATATTCTGCCATTTTCAACGATAGGATTCCGCTAGACTATCAAAAATATTTTTTTGCCGAATCTCAAAACTTTCTAATGTTCTTTAATCAGAGAGGAATCAATTAGGTCATTTATCCAACGACAATTATGAACGGTTTCAATTGCATTGATACTCTACGACATCGAAGGTTTGCCATACATCGGAGCAAGACTGTCGAATGTTTAGTAACAAACTAGCTCCAGTTGTTGCCTATTTGAACTTCACCTTCAACCTGGAATCTATCCTTAAATTCATCATTCACTATCACATGCTCATCTGCCATCTCAGATTTTTATACCGTATTCTCATAGTTCTGAGAGTTCATGTATGATTGATGAAAGTACATCAATTAATGATAACAAAAATTGTATTTTAGAAACAACTCAACACAAAAGTTTTATTTAAATCTTCTATAATGGTCAGGAAAGCAAGTAACTTCATTGCTTTGACTTGTACTAGGTTTGAATGCGTAAAGTATTTGATTATGAAATATCTTGAATTATGAATAGATAAAAAATGAAATTGTTTTATTTTGCATCAAGTAAATTTTCATTAGATCAAGTATTTATCGAAGGATAGATATTAAAACTATTTTTCTTCTAAATTTTATACCAGCAAAAAGTGCCAATCCAAATCCAGATATCACTCCTTCTTTGATGATTTATTTTCATTAAGTTGACGATTATAGTTACGAAAGGTTCGACTAAATAAAAAAGCAAATGATAACAATGTTCTTGAAGAAGACTACGGACTCCATCAGTTTCGGTAATATTGATAATTTCATGAGCTATTATTCTTCAGAGAACGAAAGTTTTTATCAACGATTTGAGTCAGACAAATAGTAAAAAATGACTTTTTAATTTTTCAAATCTTTATCAGGTGATATATACATCTTAGAAGTACTTCTGCGATCAAAAGAAAGCGTCTGTACTCTACAGATATAATTTTCTTTGAGAAAAGAATAACAATAAGAAACACTCTGATTATATGAGGTTATTGTTTTTTTTACCGCATATTGCTTTTTTTGCTTTGGACTGTCATCTAGTACTTGTTGTTGTACTCATATTTCTTTGAGAATCAAAGGTCATCTTAAGTTCTCTAATTACGTGCGCAATTTCAAAAACATTTTTTCCCTATGGCAATCTGATTTTGAAGCTATCAAAATCTCTATTGCATCTTCATACTCATATAAAACATTCAAATATAAGATGGTTTTGATGATCGTACAGTTCTATTCAGCATAAAATTTGATCTTTTTTCCTTTTTTTAATGAAGAATTACTTCGAATAGATTGAGATGACTTTAGGAAGTTTAATAACTACTACCTTGAGTGCATCTATGTTTAATCAAACGGGCAATTTCTTGATGTTTGCTGATTCGAACGGCATTTAGGTATAATAAACAGTTTTTTTTGCAGAATGTACATATTGTTTGACAGGACAGAATATTATCTACTGAACTACTCTAGTATTCTTGGTATAATGTTGAATTATGTAGATTTATTTTCTAATTGAGTTTTAATTTCTTTTACATTAGTTGTTTCTTTTTGTATAAATAATTTAGCTACATACTTCTGGATATTGTATAGTACACAATATATGAATTCATATCTACGTAGTATCATGAAATAACTTTCATATACCAACGGAACACTTATTTATCGATTCATAAGAAACGATTGTAGTTTGCAAATGGTGCCGATAGTTTTTTCGAATAGGTAAAATTCATTTATGATGAAACTATCATTACATCACCGTCGAAATTTTGTACTGTAGCTTCAACTAATATTTTTTTCTCAACGACGTATTCTCTTTCATTGTAAAAAATATAACTAATTATGTTTTCTACTGAGCAGAGTAATTTAGGAGTAGGAATAGGCATTGCAATAGTAAAAGAGATATGATATATCAATATTGTCTCCTAAATTGATTTTGTCTCTGAAACATATGTATTTTGATAAAAAGACATTTGAATGTATTTATAATGGGTATCATGCGTTTAGCATTTCTTGCATTGCAATTATTTTATTTTTTGGCAAAATAATATCATATCACAGATATTTCGATTGTTGTATAGATCTCAGATTCTCAGTACACATTGCAATATTTCTTTCAGCCGTTATTTAGAAAACAGTACTGTCAACAAATGTAGTCGTCGCTTGGTGTCAATAAAATAATAAATGACCTTGTTAAAATACGCTAAACTAATATGAAAATGTTAACTAAATGAGACAAAAAACTTGAATTCTAAAATACTCAATAATAATATTAAACTAGCGACAACTATACATCTATTTAACAAAAAAACGGATTTTATGATAAAAATATGACGTCAGAATTTTTTTATCTCAAATATTGTCATCATCTATTACAAGATTTATATTTAAACAAAGTAAATATTCTTATCATCTGTTAATAAGTATCACCTTATTGTTATCGCTCTGAAGTCATTCTAAAACAACTACGATGAAAGTATTTTTTATATTTTTTGCCACTGTTTTTTTACCAATTTGTACTTCTCGTTGTTCCTACGGTTGTACATGTTACGACGACAGTGTTTGTGAATATTATTGTGATCATAATATATGTCAACACGAAATTCCTCTATGGAAAAAATGTTCTGGTTATTATATTCATCCAAGAGAATGTGGTAGTGTATCTTATTGTGATTCCAAATCAAATAATACTTGTCAATTACAAAAAAACTATGGTGAACGATGTGAATACAGTTATTCATGTTTATCTGGATATTGTGATCATAGAACTGATACATGTCAATCCGAATATTCACCTTCCAATTGGGTATTTCCTATAGTACTGCCAACTGTAATAGTTTTTACATTATTGATGATTTTCTTTATATTGATCGTTTCACGAAGACAGAGACGACGAACACTTGCATGTTATCAAAGTCCTTATATTGTTTTACCACCGGATGCTTGTTATTCATATCAAAATTCTTCCATCGTAACAGAATCATCACCACCACCTTATCCTGGTACAATATCGCCACCATTGCCAAGAACATATCAAAGCTGATTGCATTAACTAACTATTAGATGATTATTTTGTGAATTTTATATTTTTTCTGTCCATCTAAAAAAGATTTATTAAAATAAATTCTCAAACGATGTGACTTTTTTATGATGAATAAAAGAAAATAATAATCTTAAAGATGTTTATTTCTTTGTTCATTTCTTAACTGATTAATTCGAATTTTAAAAGCATTTCATGCTATCTGAGTTAGAGCAATGCGCATAGGACTCGGAGTTAATCGGAGCCGAAATTTATATAAAGTACAGAAACTTCTAAACCCCAATTTCATTATTTTCTTACGTAATATTTATTTTTCATAATTGTAAAACTCAGCAAACGAAAACTGTTAATTTAATGGCCAAATAACATGAAATAAAAAAAAAGATCAGCATCATTCAATCTTTCCACTTTCGTCATAAGATGTATTTTCATTATCTTTAAGCAACCTTAAATTACATAATATCGTCGGACACATAAGTTGTCGCTAATTTACGGAACAAATTTTCGGGAGTTTTTTGATTTTAAAAAAGCGTGATTCCGTAGGTCTCTAGTTTGAACAGGACACAATTAATATATTACTTTAAATATGTCTGTCATGTAGGAAAAGTAGATGCATGTATGTTTACTGTATACAATTCGATTCGTATTTCAATGCCTAGACCAATAAGATCTAAATAATATGCATTTATCTTCTAAAGAAACCAGAGAATATTAACAAGTGTTCATTTCTTTCTTAAGCTGATTCTTTATTTGATGGTCTTTGTACATTCAAATCTTGATTTTCGCGAGACACCTGTGTACATATGAAAAACAAAAATTGTGTTACAGTTGTACAGATATAATCATCCATTCAAAAAACCATTTTATTTCAATGATATACATAAGTTTCGCTGTTAACTTTTGATTCGATTCAATAGAGAAAACATATTGAAGAAAAGTATAAGTGTTCACATTGAACTGCATTGTTTTACCTTTATCTATCGGTTTAGTGCAATTGTACAGCTAATATATTTACTCTTAACATTCTAGTGCACGTAACTTGATCTAAAAGCCATTAAAATTCATAGAAAACGATAGATTTATTTTAATTTTATTTTTCTAAGTTTTACAACAAAAAGAGATGATTGATAATGCTAATCTCTAAAAGTACAATTAAAAATAAAACTTGACCTATGATTCATTTTGTTTTTGTCACCAGTGTATTCAAAGAAATAAAAAGTACAAGATACATAAAAATTCTTAATAAATAATATTAGATATACATTTTTTTTTATTTTTCAAGTTCAGTCTGAACAAATTTTAAACAATCGTCGATCCACCATCGAGAACAAGATTAGTACCAGTCATAAATGGACATAAATCCGAAGCCAAGAATATAAATAAATTAGCAACTTCTTCTGGTTGACAAACTCTTTGTAAACATTTACCTTTGATAACTTCATCTAATTGATTTTTATTCATTCCTACAGACTCTCCAATTGCGTATGTTGTAGGAGTATTGATTCCACTTGGACTAACAGAGTTGACTCGAATATTAAATGAACCTAAATCAAGAGCTAGATTTCGTGTTAATTGAATAATAGCACCTTTCGTTGCAGAATATGGAACCCAATCAGGAGAAGCAACTAAGCCAGATACACTAGCCATATTCACTATGGATCCACTTTTCTGTTTTTTTAATATAGGTGCAATATATTTTGCCATTAATGCATAACCACGTACATTGACGTCAAATACATGTGACCAATTATCAGCGGATACTTGTTCGACATTACCCAACACATATGTAGCTGCACTAAAAAAATCCGAGGTTTTTAAATATATCCTATACAAAAGAAAACTCACGTATTAAGAAGAACATGTATTGTTTTCCATTTATCTAATGTTGTTTGAATAGCTTGTTGAATATTTGTCTCATTAGTAACATCAAGTTTTACAACAAGTATTCGATCATTTTTATTATTTTCATTTTCAAGAATTTCATCTTTGACTTTATTAATATCATCTATATTTAAATCACCTAAAACTAGACGAGCTCCATGAGCATAACATGCACGAGCAATATATCGAGCAACTGATCCAGCTGCACCAGTCAGAAACACAACTTTATCAGCTAACAATTTATTCCAATTGCCCATATTTGAACACATCATTGTTTAGATATCGGCTTGTTTACTTATGTTTTAATAAGTCATGAGTAAAATATCTAAAGATAACCTTGATTAGTTTGCAATAAAAACAAACATAGACCATGGCTTTTACTAACACATGGTACGTAAATGATGCAGAACGAAAATATGAAGGCTTATATAAAAAAAAAAACATTCTTGTCTCTATTCTGCAGATTTAGTTGAAAAAATCGAAATAATTAATTATGAGATATGACATACATGATAAAGTAAAGATTTGCAATCATCTATTTACTGTATTTCTATTGATTTCTCGCCAATATTTTTCTCATTAGAAAATCAGCTTTAATGGGATTTGAAAGATCTTGTTAAATTGCTTTCTCAATCAAAATAAATGAACACAAAACTGTATTACAAAAGAAAAAAAATATATACTCGAAATAAACTAACTTCAAGCGAACATTGATTAAAAAAAAATGTAAAAGTAAGTCATTAATATTTTCAATATATATGCTGTGAAAAATTTCAGATGGAAATCAAATGACGTCATTTTATTTACGTATACTAATAACAATTAGTTTGCATTTTTTTTCGATTTCCTTCAACTTCAATACTAAGATAAAATTCTTGTTTCAAAGCTTGATTAATATAAATACTTTAAGGATTTTATATAATAAAATTACCACCATCAACAACTAAATTAGCACCCGTCATAAATTGACATAGATCAGATATTATAAAAACAATCAAATTAGCAATATCTTGTGCTTGACCAATACGCTTCAAGCAACTTCCTTGAATACACAAATCATTCATTTGTTCTTTTGTTACATTGTTCATTTGAGCAAATTCATCACGTCCAGGTGAATCAATAGAGCCCGGACTAATAGTATTGACACGAATATTAAATGAACCTAAATCAAGAGCTAGATTTCGAGTTAATTGAATAATAGCACCTTTTGTTGCTGAATATGGAACAGCATTAGGAATAGCAATTAAACCTAAAGTACTGGATATATTTACAATGGATCCGCTATGTTGTTTTTTTAATATAGGTGCAATATATTTTGCCATTAATGCATAACCACGTACATTAACATCAAAAACTTGAGACCAACTTTCAGCTGATACTTGTTCAATATTACCTACAGTTGCAATTGCTGCACTGAAAAAAGATGGCACTTTTTTTTTTGAAATATATTATATAAAAGAAACTTACGTATTAAGAAGAACATGAATTGTGTTCCATTTATTTAATGTTGCTTGAACAGCTTGTTGAATACTTGTTTCATCAGTAACATCGAGTTTTACAACAAATATTCGGTCATCTGTCTTATTTTCGTTATTAACAATTTCATCTTTTACTTTATTTGTTTTTTCTGGATCTAAATCACCTAAAACAAGACAAGCTCCATGAGTATAACATGTCTTCGCTATAGTTTTTGCAATATGCCCAGCACCACCAGTTATGAATACAACTTTATTGATAAGTAACTGACACCAATCACCTGCGCTGTTGGACATCATCATTATATTTAGTGTTGTATATTTTCTTTCGTATATTCGATGGTATAATGGTAAAATATGGAAAAAGAAGGATAAATATAAACCACTACTATGTAATAGAGTATGCGTCATCGATCTAACTATTGTATCATGATAAATAATTAACTTGTATTGCATACGTACGTTAGTTCAAAATTTAACTTTCATTACAATGCAAACCACTCATTAGATATTTATTTGAAATACTACAACCATCATTACAAGTATATTGTAGGTCTGTTTCGATATTCATTGTAATCTAGTTAAAAATTCATGGTCATTGATTGTATGTTTAATTATTTATCATGTCTTTCATAGATATGAGAAATAGATTCTGACTAATTTATTATTACTTAAAAACTTTGTGTTATCAGTACTGAACAAAAAATTTTAGTAAAAACTCTTGAAGAATGATTCTTTAAAAAAAAAGACTATATTCATCATCTCAACATATTTCGTTTTAAATTTATTCAGAAAAAAAATATTTGTATTAATCAAAAGATTAAAAAAAGATCCTACCAGGTTCTGATGACGCATCTCATATCAAAAAATACATATGCGTTCTTGTAAAAAAGCTCGTGGCACATCAAGTGAATAATAAATAATCAAGCTTTTTCCAAATTCGATATGATGAGAGCCCGAACACTTGTTATTATGCTTGAGTGATAGAAAATTATACGCATAGTCATTTATGTTTCCTAGAATGTTGTAAGATAAATTTATGATATTTTTTCTTATAATCAATTTGGTACATTCTAAGATATTCTTTCATTGTTTTGTATTCAACAATGTGCATTGATACTTTCTTCATACTTAAAAATGACTTGTTGCTATTAGCATAGGCTATTTATGTAACTATATATCATTACTATGTGATCAACTCTGTGTCACAAAACAAGCGATTATCAGGAGTTTATGTAGGAAGTGAATAACTTCCACGAATAAAATTGCACTGAACTGGTCGATGATAAATGATTTAATTCAAAACCAACGAAGATTAATAAGAACAATAAATATAATAGAAGCATTTTGAAATGAATAATTAATTATAATTGTCAACATCTGCTCAAGGAAGAGTAGATGTCAGTAATTATGATGAATTTGTTAATTTTTAAAAAGATCTATTGTATTTATTCTTATTAATATCTTTGTCAACTTGGCATGAAAAATAAATCATTCATGATTATGTTTTTAGAGAGGGCCGAAACCTTGAAGTAAATGAGGTGTCATTAACTAGCTTAGTACAATATTATTCATAGCAGTTTTTCATTTCTTACTTTAATATCTACTACCAATTGTCAAAATTAATCTCTTCCGGAGCAGTCCGAAGCTCATTGTCGAACTAGATGATTGTTCGGTAAAACGAGTTGTTTTTCTTATATGAAAAAACCAACTTATTTACAATATTTTAACAATATCAAACAATACCAAGAAAAATTTTTATACGATGCGAATTAACGCTGAATATCTATTTAATTGATATACTAAATAGTTCCTTTAAGCAGAAAAAAGATTTCTTTTGGTTTCAGGATCTTTGAATGGAAGTAATAAAATGTGAAGAAGAGATGAATTCTAAAATATATCAAACTCGATAGTATGCAGTTTTTGAAGAAGTTTCACACTGATAGTCACTTGTTCTATGATACAAAATTGAGCACACACTAATGACATTTAGTCACACGAATAGTCTAGGGCAATAGCAATTGGGTATATTTTAATTTGTTGAATACAGAAAACTAAAGAACTCTGAAAATATACCAAACTGATTATTAAAAAAATTCCATATATTTATCTTAGAATACTCTAAGGAACATAATGCTTATGAGTATCATATTCTATCCTTTAAGCATCATAATCACTGTTTGGACGCCCCCATATATCGAAATTCGAAGAAAACTCGATTTTTTGTTATACATCATTTGATGCATCACGAGTTGTTTTGCAAGAACACATATGATTTGCTGGTGCGAGGTCGATCATCAAGACCGACAGAATCTTTTATTCATCTTGACATTTATTTTAATAAGTTTAACAACATACAAAGTCATATTGACATAATTTAATTTTGAGTCTTTAGTGAACATTCAATCTATAATTTGTTGGATAAATTTGATTATTTTGTAAAGGATAATCACAATTTTTACATAGAATAATCTTTTTAACTTCTTGGCGAAAATTTGGTGTTGAAAGAAAAAAAACATAGAAACTCAATACTTCATCTGTAAAAAATAAAATAATTGATGTATAATTAAATACACGAGCATATGATGATAGTTTTTGAGTAAAATCAATAAAAAATACTGAATAAATATTTTCCATAGAATATGGAATTGATGCCATTAATATAGTGATACATAATAATAAAAGCATTCGTGATAATTGTTTATCACTATTGAAATTTCGTAGATAACTTATTTGTTGAGTCATTTTTAATTGTTTATAAATCAATCGACTAAATATTGAAAGAAAACATATTAAAAAAATTCCATGAAAAAATATTTGAAAAACACTCAAATAATAATATGAATATATTCTTGAAGAAATTTTACAATTACCAATTGGTGAAACTTCATAATAAATTATAATTGGAATACTATATAATGCAAATATGCAAATGATTGAAAAAATTATTTTTTTCGTTACATGTCTTTTTGTACTTAATCTTCGTAAACGCACTTCTCTTGATGATATCACATATCGATCCAATATAGCTAAACATATACATGTTAATGATACAAGATCACTTGTATATAATATGGTAATTTACATGTTAAAAATACATTATCATTTGTTTTGGGATATTGAAAACCATCAAATATAATATTAATCAAAAGTGGATAGAGAATTTGTATTAGATTAGCACAAGATGATGTTAGTAAATACAGAGAACTATTATTTGTTCGATTAATAAGAATATTTCCATTGACTTTTCTTTCTGAACGAGACCATAATGTAAAAACACAAATATTTAATACATTCCCAATTAAACCTAATATATATAAACTAATACCAAGAATAATCATGACTTTGTCAGTATCATCACCAATTCGATTCATCGTAACATTTGTTACTTTTGGATGTATTTTTTCGTTCATGATTTAAACAGAAATAATTTGTATTAAAATATTTTTTCTAATAAAAACTGTCTGGCATGAATATTCTGTTTTAAGTAATTCTGATAGAATAATAGGAAATGTGAATTCGTTTTAGAAAAAAGTCATTGCACGCTATAAGTCTAAGATTAATAATGAAGTCATCGATATAATCTTAGTACATTATGGTATTAAACATTATTTAATTGAAAGAATTAAATTAATTAATTATTAAAATAATACACTTAAATTAAAATCAAATTTTAATGATGCTGTCCTACAATAAAAAGACCATTGAATACAATATCTGCTTTTCGGACTCTCCATTTTGAACAGTTTACCGAAAATATAAAAATAGAGATTTCAATAGTTCTTGAAGATGAGAAATTTTTTGTTTTTGAGATAAATTATTTCAATTTTTGTTAAAGAAAAAAGTTTTCTGCATCTGGAAAAAGTTTAGCATATTTGAATATTCATCAATAGTTAAAAATTGTTTTATATATGATTCAGTACAGAATTTGCTGGGTCACATTTCGATAAAAAAAAAAACTTTTGAAAAATTTCATTTTAATTTTTAACTTTTAAGTGTTCTATAAAAAATGCACAAAATTATCTAATTATTGTTTCAAAATAGATAGATTTTTAAAGTGACTGTAATGTTCATTACCTTTGACAAAAAGAAACGAAGTTCAACTGTAAAACAAAACTATAAATTTGAAGAACTAGCGTCTCTTGAAGAATAGAATTTGCTCTTATAAAAAGGTACTACTCGCTGTTCTTTGTGTAATGTACTTTTCATATGTCATAACACTTTCAGATTATGGAATGGAAAATAATAGCACCAAGACTGGAAATTGTGACCTAAAGTATTTCTTAAAACAAAACACATAAGTAATATTTGATTTAAAAATTGCATAGAAAGCAGCGAGAACTTATTTGTAAAAGTAAATTCTATTCTTCATACGAGTTAGTCCTCTTTATTTACAATGTCTTTACATAATTCAGTTCTTTTTTTAACGATAAGGAACATAATTTTCATTTAAAACTAATATTTGACATGATGAAGTACTCTTCTTTTATTTTGTTGATTAATAATAATTATTTTGATGAATAAGTTAAAAACTTGATAATGTTTCTTATTTCAATGAGATACTTCATAAGACATCAACATTCAAAAAGATGAGTTCACATAAAAGTATAAACAGAAACAATTTAAAAGAAAGTAATTTAGTTATTTTCTCCTTTTCAAGTATCCGATTTAAGTATAACTAATATCCTTTTGTTTTTTCGTATTACTGTCAAACAATGACTGAAAAAAAAGAAAATACTTTGACTTCTTTGTTTTTAATCGGTTCTGTTTTCACTTGTATATTACGTCATTTGTTTGGATATTAATGTCTGATATTGATATTTAATTACTATTTTTATATAAGAATTTGTGAGTTTTTCATTAAAATGTAGCTAGGCAAATTCTGCACTTAATAACATATTAAAGAATTCTTAGTTATTACTCAGGAACGAAAAATTTGATGAATTGTCTTAAAAAAAGAATCTGAAATATAGAAAAGTATACTCAACTGTTTTTCTTTTACTTTATGTGACTTTTGTGAAACTGACATATATTTTCGAAGCAAATAATTAATGTAAGTTTTAAATCGAAGTTTTATGACTTGCCTCTCTCCATTACAGACATTCAAAACCGGAATTAAAGACGCTGAACGACATGAATAATAAGTACTAGAAGATTGTAGAACATTTCTTGAAATGTGAATAGCTAGAACACGTTGTTCAATATTCTACATAACGCAGTTTCAGATTTTTACGCAGATAAAAGATTATATTTAAGATATCAAGGATGATGGCTCGATTTCTAACAACTAACATATGATGAACAGAACATGATGTATTAATTAAGTTCTGATTTTCAGATACATATTAGATCATTCAGATCTTCTGAAGATATAACAAATGTGCACAACACGATTGTTTTCGTGTAACTCAAAATTTCTTATTTCAGTGCTTGAAAAAAACCGGAAAAAAATTAAATAGCTTTGGTTTCGCTATGAATACTTCTGAATTACGTATAAAAGACCAGCTAAAAATGATGGATATACTTTAACAATGTGTTTCTTTTTCAAGAGTACAACTTTGTTAAGTGCCTCAATACTTGAAGAAACAATTGTTTTTAGAAAGATATAAGCCAAAACACAGTATAAAAACTTAGTAGATCAGATCATTAAACTTATGAATTATTTTCATGGACAAGACGTTATTGAATTGTTCATTAATCTAAATAGGAATAGTTAAAATATTCTTATATAAATACTAATTGATTCTCAATTCTTAAAATCTTAACGACGATCTTTAATTGTATAATGGTCTCTAAGAAAACCAGAGGTGAAAAACTTAATATGAGTCATAAGAGATTTGAAGGGCATTCACGTTTAATCAATAATTAAAATTCTATAAACGAAGTCTACCATGCAAACAATTATATCTTGAGAATAAGGTTTCTTACAAGGCTTTTACTTGAAGATGTCAACATAACGATTGACAACGGTAAGCATTCTCATAACTCAGTGACTTCAATCAACAAAGAACTTAAACTAGTAATATAATAATCCATATCAAAGTCCTATTTTCACAAAAAAACTACGATTTTTGTTTCTCTAAATGTAGCAACTATTGTAAAATAAAGAATTACAGTCACAGACACTGGCGTTCCAAGAAAATTTTCTCGGCCCAAAGAAAATGTTGTCGTTTGTTTTTGTCACTAACGAGGGAATCCATTCGACTAATAATGTCCATTTAAGCTCATATTTTGCTCATAGTTTAGATATAAAGTCTTAAAGCATTCGCGCCATTGGATATTTTTTTCATAACAATAGTTTTCATGATCCTTATGGTATTCTGAAAGCTTTAATTGAAACGGATGATTTCTTGATATCATATGCCCTAAAACTAGATTATCTTTGAAACTCTTGTGTGAAAGTAATTTTTCTTAAAACTTTCAGAATATCATAAGAACTTGAGAGTTATTGTTTGGAATAATTGCAGACCGAAACTAGTTGTTTCGATTTTTCTCATGATATTCTGAAATACGCTAAAATGACCCTGACTCAAGAAAAAATGCTGAATGGCACGAATCTATTTAGGGTTTTTATCTACACTATAAGTAAAATATTAGATTAAACGAAGATTACCAATCGGATGGATTTCCTCGTGAGACTAGGCATTAGGATAGTAAGATGTCTTTTGTGTCATCTTGTTTTTCTAAAGAGTTATCATGAAAACATTACCTTAATGAATATTTAAATTCAATAACAAGTATATATTTCTCACAGGTTTGACAAAAGAATCGAAGATGATCTGAAGATGTCAGATCGTAGTTTAGCTTTTCATTATGTTACTATTGTTTTCATTTTTTAACGAATAAGTTAGTTTTCGAAATATGATGAAAGACAAAAAGATTCTTTTTCTATCGTTTTATTTGTCTGTCAAATGAATACTTAATTTTGTCTGATAACTATCATTTATTCTTGTCGTTATCCAAAACAAATGACATATATCGATGTAGAACATAAGAAAACCTATGAAAAGAATATTCAAATGAATAAAAATTATCGCTTTGTGTTCGAAATGTCTTCTGGTTAACTTGAGTCCAATAAGAGTCTTTTTTGGTCACAAAGATTGATATATAGAATAGATGTTTCTCGTTTCATTATATCAGTAGATAAATTCTAGTCCTGTAAATCAGTTTTTACAAACTTTAGAAATGTAAGAATTCATCTGTACAACAAAGAACTTCTTTTCAGTTGAAACATTGATTGAGATAAATTATTATCTTGAATGTTGCAAACAGAACATCATCAAAACAGAAAAACTAATTATTGTAACTGTCAGATGAATATTTTATATAAAGTAAGTATCATAATTAGCATGAGAGTAGTTGTCTCTAAGGTTGAAATAGAATCCTTTGCAATTAACATTTGAAAACTACAGATTACTCTATATTGAGTTAATATGCCTTTTATTTCAAACATTTTTGTGTAAACTTTAAAAGCTTTATTTAAAGTTAGTGATTTGATAGGATCTTGGATAAATTCACTTTCTGTTAAATATTCAGATATTTGTTTGACTATACCGAAACATAATTATCAAAAAGTATGACAAAATGGATAGTCACTAATTTTGATATATAGATCAAATTGTAGTTGTTTCTATTTTTTTTTTCTTTGAAAAACCTTGAACGATAAGTTGAGTTTGCCGTTTTATCAAACAACGATTATTACAGTTTGTTTGCTTTGATGATTATGCATATTTTTTGTATCGTGAAAGCCGTTTATAATGATATTCATAGAAACTGTAATGAGCACGTTCCTACCATAGAAATGTTACTTCCTTTATTTAGATATCGAAAGAGAGATATTCTATTAATATTTATTAAAGTACTTTTTTTGAGGATAACATGCTATTTATAAATATTTCATATTCTTTTGCATCACGTACATGAAAGTAATGAACACAACGCATCGTGATAAAATTAGAAATGATGAGTTCTATTTTTATTGACAATTTTTTGTTTTTCTTTAATTTTTAACTATTTATTGATTTATAACGGATGATTAGAGGAACTAACTTTAAAATATTCAATATCGAATGAAATTTCTTCTCACCGAATGCAATAGAATGGAATTTTATATCCACCATTGAATAGAATATGTCTTTGTCTATAAACCTATATGTATTCTGCTCTAGGATCAAAAATCGTCGTAAAATTTCTAGTCGCATTTAATATTAAAATTTGAAAGGTCATAATTGGATTTACATCAAAAATAAAAGATTAAATCATGTTCAGTAAGTCTTTTTTAGTAAACAAATCTTGAACAATAATCATACTCGATACAATACATTGATATCAAGGAATTTATAATATTTATTTGTTAATATTTAAATTTACCATTTTAATCCGTTTGTTTAAGTATCTTTTATTGTTTCTATAT